ACTCAGCAGAAAAAAACAATGGAATCTTGAAATTTGCAGGCAACTGGATGGAACTAGAAGAAACCATTCTGAGCGAGGTAACCCAATCACAAAAAGACAAACATGGTATTTACTCACTCATATTTAGTGAGTGGATTTTAGACATAGAGCAAAGAATTACCAGCCTACAATCCACACTGCCAGAGAAGCTAGTAAACAAGGAGGATACTAAGAGAGACATACATGGTCCTCTGGAGAAGGGGAAAGAGACAAGATCTCGAGACCAAATTGGGAGCGAGGGAGGAGGTGGGAGGGAGCTAGGAGATTGAGAAGGAGAGAAGAGGAGGGGTGAGGAGGACATGAGGGAACAGAAAGGTTGAGTCGGGGGAAGAATAGAAGAAAACAAGAAAGGAGATACCATAATAGAGGGAGGCATTTTAGGTTTACAGAGAAATCAAGCACTAGGGAAATGTCTGGAGATCTACAAAGATGAGACCAGCTAATAATCTAAGCAATAGAGGAGAGGCTACCTTAAATGCCCTCCCAGGATAATGAGATTGATGACTGATTTATATGCCATCCTATAGCCTTCATCCAGCAGCTAGTGGAAGTAGAAGCAGACACCCACAACCAATCACTGAACAGAACTGGAAACTGGAATCCAGTTGCAGAGAAGAACGAGTGATGAGCAAAGGGGTCCAGACCAGGCTGGGGAAACCCACAGAAACAGCTAACCTGAACAACAGGGAGCTCTTGGTCCCCAGACTGATAGCTGGGATACCAGCATGGGACTGATCCAGAGCTCAGGAACATGGGTTTCAATGAGGAGACCTCGGAAATCTACAGGACCTCCTGTAGAGTTCAGTACTTATCCCTAGCTTAAGCATGGCCTTTTGGAGCCCAATCCACATAGAGGGATACTCCCTGAACCAAGACAGATGGTACGGGGGTCTAGGTCCTATCCCAAAGGATACAGTAGACTCTGATGACCCCCTATGGAAGGCCTCATCCACCCTGGGAGCAGAAAGAATATGAGATAGGTAGGGTTTTAATTGAGGGAGGGTGGTAAGGGAGGAGGGGAGGAGTGGGAACTGGGAGTGACTTGTAAAACTATCTTGTTTCTAATTCAAATAAAAAGAAGATAGAAAAAATAAGTGTTTTTTATTTAAATAAATATTAATTGAAATATAAACATTAATAAATATGTAATATATTGTAATAAATTAAGATTGTTTTCTCACTGCAAAATGCGTCATGGTGAAATAAAAAGTTATTCTAATGACCTAGGGCAAGAACTGGGTTTCCATCCAAGTTCTTCAATTTTCTTTTTGAAATTGGAAACTGATCAGAAGCCCCAAGAATGAATATTTTGATTTTTCACAGAAAAAAAATAGAAAAAAGCATCCTATTGTGCTTTTGTTAAGAAATGTATGTGGAATTACTTTTGTGTCATTCAATTCATTTTTCAAATTTATATATATATATATATAGTTTTTGCTACATTAATGTGCTTATATAACACATGTCCACATCAATCCAGAGAACATATTTCCTTGGTGACAGCATGAGACACTCGTTGATAATTTCACTCAAATATCATCTCTTCTAATACTATTTTGGAGGAAATTACTTTTTGATTAGGTAAAATGTAAGCAAGGGATGGTAGAATTGGTAATTTAATTTCTATTTATTTTCCTACCTTTTTGGGGGACAGGGCTTCCTGGTAGAGCCAAGGCTGACTTAAGCTTACTACATTGCCTAGGCTGATCTCAAACTGTGGCAGTAGTCCTCTTTCAGCTTGGCGAGTGCTGGGATTATAGGAGTGAGCTACTTTTTCTGCCATCTTACTTTTCATTGTGTTGAATGAAAGATCTTAGATGGGGCTAGTGGTGATAGAATTGTTTTGGGGGGCATAGAGAAAGGGAAATTTTAGGACCAGGCATCTGATAGTATGTTCACACATTGAGTGTATCTCATGTACTTTCATGGTATAGTTCGTAGCAGTGGAAAATTAAGTAGTACTAATTTTCCTCATTGGTGTGTGTGTGTGTGTATGTGTGTGTGTTGTGAGGTAGAGAGCACTGTGGGCAGACAGGAATTTTTTTTATCAGATCGACCAGGCATATCCTCTGTTCTACTGCTGCTCAGTTCCTTCTATCAATAGGTGAAGGGAAACACTGTAGGGATTTCAGACAATAGTAATCACTCCTTTGCAATGCTAGGGACTTAAGCCACTCTTAATAGGAAATAATTTTATTATTGTTCATAATTACAAACTAATTAGGAGGAAAATAAGTTTTTCTCAGTTTCCTCACAAGTACTGAAGTTAGTTACTGGGTAGGGTTCTGAGAGCTGGATGTCAGATCTTAAGAGTTATCACACGAGACAGTTTCATTTTTGTCTCTTTGCTAAAGATGCTCAACTATCTCTAGCCAATGAAGGCCAGGATTGCCTTGCCACTGTGGGGATGTGTGAGCACATTCTAATAATGTATTTCCTTTCAGTGATAAGCAAAAATAAGTTTCATTGTCTCCATGTGACATGACTTTTGCACAACATGGTGGCCCTGTGGTAGCTGAACTTCTTGCTTTATAGCCGAGGCTCCAATCGGAAGTGCTCCAAATTACAATGAGGAAGCTGTGATTCCTTTCCTGACCTAGATTTGGAAACATGCTGTATCACTTCTACTCATTTGATTGTGATTCACAAAGCCACCTTCAAGAGGAAGGGATCTAGATTCCACTTTTTGAAGGATGAATAGCAAAATCCCATTGTATATGATAGAATAGGATATACTCCCAATGACATCTTTGGAAAGTGTAAGCTATCTTAGGGTTTATAATTTACTTTCTGTTCCTTATACTCAAAACAGAAGGGACTGATGCTTGACACATTCAGAATCTCACTCTTGACTTCCTCTCTGAGTTTTTGAACAGGATTTGGAAAAGTCTTTGAGATTTCCACTGGATGTTATGCCAGAGGCTCTTAGCTGGCCTCCTGTGATGGGGAGGTCCTTCTGTGTATATGTTTGTCTTATTGGTTGATAAATAAAGTACTGTTGGCCAATAAGAAAGCAAGATAGGTGGGACTAGGAGTCGAGGAGGATTCTGGGAAATGTAGTAAAAAGAAGTCTTGTGATCTAGGTAGGAAGTGACATAGCAAGCACACTCAGAATATAATCAGGGACAAGAAGGAAATTGTCCTCTTGCTCTTCCTCTTCCTGTTGCTCTCTTCTCTACTGAGCTGCCATGTGATCCCAGGAGGAGGATGCCAGCAGAAAGCATCCTTAATAAGATAAGTCTTATAAGATATATAGATTAATGATAATTAAGACTGAGCTAGCATATAAAAAATCCTAGTCAATTGGCCAGCATCACTGTAAACTAATATGAGACTCTGTGTGTTATTCTGGGTGGTGGTGGGGCTTGGGCGTATGGAGTAAAGACTTATCATTACACTCCAGTGTCTACTCTTATTGCAGGATGTTGTCGAGTTACTTGTTATGAAATCTCAGAAAAAAAGCCTGGACATCCACTCCAACCCATTTCTATGTGACACAATTTTGCCTAAGAGGACTTAAGGGCATGGGAGTGTCATGCAGCAACTCGTGAGAGCTTTTGTCAATCCTGTCTTCTCTGAATGATGCTTGGCGAAGCTTGTCTTTAGCTATAAGACAGAGCTAATGGGAAAGGAAGCTGAGTGACCAACTCCCTCGAGAGACTTTTATGCAAAAGAGGTGAAAAGCTGTATTTTAAGCTACTTGTAATTGAATCTCTTGCCCATAGCCTTTGCTAATTGTCATTGATACAGATTCCTGGCTCATCTCAATCTGAATACCGTAAAACAGGATTCTCAGTTTCCTCTTTGGAACTTGGCCCTTTGCTTAGATGTCTCCTTTTCTTTCTTCTTTTTTTTTTTTCTTCTAGCACTCATATCTACTCAGTTGACCAGAAGTCTAAGATCACCTTTGTTCTCACCCTTCTCTTGTGGTCCACAATATTAATAAAGGTTAATGTTGATTTTTCTTCCTTTAAATATCCAACCATATCTTATACATTGGCACAAGCCACCATCCTCTTTCCCTTAAACTACTATTGTATCTGTCTCTATTTCCAATTTTCCACTTTTCCTTCTTTATAAACACACACACACACACACACACACACACACACAGACGTATACACATATAATCACGTAACTGGTGTTTTCAAAATCGTCTGTCCTTAGTTACTACATCAAAGTCACATTTCTTTTTGGTGTCCCTTAAATATTCCTATTTTGAAAGAAGAAGTGGACACATGGCCTCATCCCTAACCTAGAGGGGGTCTTCAGAAGATAACCACTTGCAAATGATTGTTTACTTTCTTCCAGGGAGTCTCAATGGAGAAACAAACTACTCTTGAAGGTAGGCTGCATGCCCAGCAGTAGATGCCAACAGAAAATGAATTCAGCTGCATCTTTGGAGGTTCCTTGTCTTACAATGTCATGTCAAGGCTTAAAAAAACTTTACCTTATTATTTGTTATTTTATTTAAATACATATCTCTCTCTCTTTTTTACCCTATCGTTTGTTTTCATATCTAGTATGGCTTCTAGTGTAATGTTTTTATGGGATTCCTGAGTGTGTGTACACGTGGGTCTCTATTTCTTGCGCCTTCTCTTGGACTTTTTTCCTTCTGCTTGTTTTATGCAAGTCTGATGTGTTAGTTTTTGTTTTACCTTGTTATATTTTATTATTATCCCTTAGAAGTCTATTTGTTGCTCTCTTTGCTCTCTTCTCTGATCGTCTTTGTCTCTTCTTGTCTCTCCCTCTCTTGATGTCCCCCCACTCTATGATTAATAAAAAAAGAAGTCTATTTGTTTTCTAATGAAAGACAGAAAGGGAATGTATCCAGATGGGAGGGGAGGTGGTGAGGAACTGGGAGGAATAGAGGGAAGGGAAATTGTGATCAGGACATGTTATGTGAAAAAAATGTATTTTCAATAAAATGAAAGAAAGAAAGATGCTAAATGTTAGCTAGGTGGGTAGATAGATAGAAGAAATTTTGAATTAAGCAGAATGCTGCAGAACTCAGTCTAAAATAAAGTTCTGGAAATATCATTAATGCTAAAATATTAAAAATTAAAATATCATTAATGCTAAAAATTAATGAGAGAGTGTAGTAGGGGAGGAGTCTGATTAAGGTATGCCATATACCTTTATGAAAATTATTATAAGCTAATAAAAATGTAACCCAAAACCTCAAGTTCAGAAAATTGATTTTCTCCTCACTGCAGATGAATTACCAAAAGATTTTCATTCATATTACCTAAATTCACATCTAAGTAATTAATTCTAATTAATATTTATTTGTTAAAGATTTATTTGTATTTATAGATCTCTGTGTGAGAGTATGCCATGTGTGTGTGGGTGCCCACAGAGGTCAGAGGAGGGCATTGGATACCCTAGATCTAGTGTTACAGGTTTTAGTGAGCTGCCCTTTGTGGGTCCTCCAGTAAGTGTTCTTTACAGCTAGAGCCATCTCTCTGACCCCCAAGTTAATAATAAGATATGTGTCTGGGCTAATTAGTCAATAAAGGAGGGCACCAAAGGGGCTGTTATGTGTGCTGGCTAATTTTATGTCAACTTGACACAGGCTAGAGTCATCTCATGGAATCCTTACTGAGGAAATGCCTCCATAAGATAGGGCTGCAGGCTAGCCTGTAGAGCATTTTCTTAATTAGTGATTGATTATGGTGGGGCTGTTGCTGGGCTGGTGGTCCTGCGTTCTTCAAGAAAGTACCCATCCATGGCCTCTGCAGCAGCTCCTGCCTCCAGGTTCTGGCCCCGCTTGAGTTCCTGTCCTAACTTCCTTCAGTGATGGACTAAGTGTGGAAGTATAAGCCAAATAACCTTTCCCCACTTGCTTTTGGTTATGGTATTTCATCATAGCAATACTATGACCAAACTAAGACACTATGGTTCATTTAAAAAGAAACAAAAAGAAGTTTCTAGCATGACTTTCCTGACACTGTGAGTGGATACTAAGTATGAGAAAGAACCACACAGACTTTTATAATTGGTGTGTTTGTTTTAGGCTCCATATCAGCTTACAAAACCATGCCCCATGTGTATTGAAGACAAAAGAAAGACTTTGGGAATGGGAATTCAGCAATGAATTGTAGGATACTTGTTGTCAAGGTAAATTAATCTTTCTTTTGCTTTAATCCTTTTGTATCAATTCATTCTCATTGAGCTTTCATAGAAAATGTCCTATGTTTTTATATTATCATCCACACTACCTTCTTTTATTGAAAAATCTATATCATAGAGGGAATTAGTTTTGATGCTGTCTTTGAGAACAACAGGCGCTATGCTTCAGAATTATTTTTGTTGCTTCTGCTGACGATAATAGTGGCACTACATAACCACATGCCAGACAAGAGTAGTGAAGTACGGTCATACTGTGCCTAAAGTAGAATGGGTATCTGCTGCTTGGGCCTCCTGGGATCCTCATTTTCCATACAGAGGTAGTCGCTGTAAAGCTATTTACACTTTGGGACAACATTGACACACTTTTGCAAAAGAAAAGTAGTTTTAAATATTCTCAAGAGGCATGCTTTTCCTATGTGTCAAAGGAGAAGAGTATTGAATGTTTTTATTTGGTGACTTACTGGGGGTAAATTTCCATTTCGTTATGATGTTTTTATACATTTTATTTACATTAGAAACAATCTGATTTTACATATCAATCCCAGTTCCCTCTCCCATCCTCCCAAGCCCTCCACAGACCCCCCCATCCCATCCCCCATCCGCTCCCCAGGGAGAGTGGAGGCCTTCCATGAGGGATCATCAAAAAACACTTGTCAAGACGTTTGGGGCAGGGCCTAGGCCCTCCACTGTGCATCTAGGCCAAGAGAGTATCCCTCCATGGGAAATGGGCTCCTGAAGTCTGTCTGTGCACTAGGGATACATCCTGGTTCCACTGCCAGAGGCCCCATAGGCTGCTCAGTGCTCCTAGCTGACATCCACGTTCAGGGGCCTGATTTGGTCCTATGTTGGTTCCCCAGTTGTCAGACTGGGGTCCATGAGTTCCCACTTGCTGAGGTCAGCTGTTTCCCATCATGGTCTTGACCCCTTTGTTTGTCACTCCTCCCTCACTGAAACTGGATTCCAGGAGTTTGGCTCAGTGCTTGGCTGTGGATCTTTGCTTTTTCTAACATCAGCTACTGGATGAAGGCTCTAGTTTCAAAGCTGCAATTAAAATGTCAAATTTCTAGTATTATGTTAGGCAGCCTTCCATCACTATAATGTAACACTTGAGACAATCAACTTACAAAAGGGAAAGATTTATCTTTGCTCACTGTTTTGGAGGATACAATCCATGCTTAGTTGACCCCATTACATTTGGAGCCCACAGTGAGTATCATGGCAGGAAATGCATGATGAAGCCTGTCATCTCATGGCAGCTAGGAATGAAGGAGAAGAGAAAAGCAAGAGCCAGTTTCTTACTATTCCCTTCAAAGGCACATTCCCATATGAGTGAAGACTTGCAACTAGGCCCCACCCCTCAAAGGTTCCACCACATGCTCCAAGTGCCTGGAGCTGGGGACCAAGCCTTTACCATGTAGCTCTATGGGAAACACTTTTCCAAAGCATAGCATTTATGTATTTTGTATGTACATTGCACAGGTACCCTATATGGTTAATAGTTATAACACCTATAGTTGTTACACACATCATTAATTTTGTTCTCATTAGTTGAGTTTGATTTTGGTCAAGTTGTTACTTAATCATATTCACATTTCCACTTTGTAATCCATAGAATGAATATAATAATATAAGTTCATATATTATTTAAATATTATGTACAATTATATATATAGATTTTTTTCTCCTATAGTTGTTTTGAGAATAACAGGGAGAAAACATTTACTTAGAACATCATTCATAGTTTATGCATTGAACAAGCCTAGCTATTGTTAGTATTTAGCCTCCCTATATACACACAGACTCCACAGTTCTATTTTTTTGATAGCCCCATACTAGCCATTAAATTTGTGCCTGGATTATAGCATATCAATTTTAGGAATACAGTGGTAGACAGTTGACCTTGGTCCTACTCTTATGGCTTTCTCAGCAAAATGAGAAAGACAATTCAGAACTAATTTCACAAATTATTGTAACCCACGAAGCAGCATGAAAGTCCAATGTAGGCAAGGTAGAGTATAAGGTGTGTGTAGATGGGGAGCCCCTCAGATGGGTAGTCAGGGATGCCTCTCTGTGGATGTGGGAGAGCTGTGGAGGAGGGCAGGCAAGTCTGTGGATTTTCCTGTCTACATATGGTGGTGTGTCTGCAATGGCTCATCTTACTCACCAGATCTCCCTTGAAACATGCTAAGAAATGACATCAGACATCTATCCCTTCCACAGACTGCATTAGTTAAGAACTAACCCTAAAATAGAGAGCACCTCTAAAACATAAACTTCAAGTTAGGTTTTGAGTTATTTTGAATCAGGGCACATGAAGTGCATTTGGAGTATGAAAATGATATCAGATATTTTAACAGTGAAACCAGTAATTTATCAATATATTAATCAAATATGTCCTTGCTGGTATTTGCAGCTATCTTGGTTTCAGAAGGTATATCCTACTGAACTTTGGCTTTTAGTTTTAAGTCAAGAGAAACAAATGACTCTATTGATTTATTTTTTATAATAAAAACTTACTTTTTTTTCTTTTCCTTTTTTTATTATTAATTCAAGTTAGGGAACAGGCTTGTTTCACATGTAAGTCCCCTCTCCCTCTCCCTCCCCTCACCCCCATCCCTCCTCCTCCACCTCCAACCTACCCCCACCCCATCCACCCTCCACTCCCCAGGCAGGGTAGGGCCCCCAACAGGGGTTCCACAAAGTTCACCAAATCTTCTTGTGCTGGGCCTAGGCCCCTCCCCATGTGTCCAGAGACAGAACGCATCCCTTCACGTGGGATGGGCTCTCAAAGTGCCCCCCCCCCACACACACCAGGGAAAAAACGCCAGTCCACCTCCGGAGGCTCCCTGGAGTGCAGGGGCCTCCCCATTGGCATCCATGATCAGGGGGCTGCATCAGTCCGGCGTCTGGGGTCGATATGCTTTCCCTTTTTCAGGCCAACTGTAAAAACTTACTTTTTAAATAAAAACGAAAGTGTTTTTAACTTCAGTCACTTCTCCTGTCCCCATTTAGCTTTCCAAAGGTATTCACTCCATCTTATTACTGCTTTTTTCTAGAGAAATCACCATGGATATTATATATATATATGCTTAAATTATTTACACATTATGTGTTTATAAACACTGATAGATACTTTAAATTTTCTCATAACTGATTGAATTAGAGATCTGTTTGAGTTACTGGACATACGTATGTACCTATATCTTTGTACACTTATGTTTTTGCCTGTGTGCAGGAGTATATGTGAGTTCACACATGTGTTGTTGCATGTGCAGGTGTGTGTGTGTGTGTGTGTGTGTGTGTGTGTGTATGTATGTATGTATGCATATATGTACGTATGTATGTGTGTGTGTGTATGTATGCATGTATAAACCTAAGAAGGATGTTGGATGTCTTCCTCAACCAGTCCCATCTCATTTACTGAGGCAAGGTCTCCCAGTTGAACCCAGAGATTGCCTATGGAAGCTAGTTTTACTAGCCAGCTTGCTCTTTGGATTCACTTTCCACTTTCCCAGCATGAAAATTATAGGCAAGCCACCATATCCACTGTGCATTTACATGGATTTTGAGAATCTGAACTCCTTCATACTTGTGTGGCAAGTACTTTCTCACTGAGCCATCTTTCTACCCCATTTTTAATAGATACTCAATGTTTTGTTCAGTGACAATGTAACAGCATATGTTGTCATACACTTATTGATAAATTTTTGAATTATCTTCTTAGTTATTGTTACTGTAATTCTATAAAACATTTTAGCGAGTGGGAACATTTTTTAAATTATAGTCAGTTCTTAATGATGAAATTGCTATGTCAAAGGATGCTTATTTTGTGTTTATCTTAATCATTTCTAAATTGTACTAACAAAAGTTATATAATATACCCCCATTAAAAGTATTTAATTCAGCTTGGCAGTGGTGGTGCACACCTTTAATCCCAGTGCTGGGGAGGCAGAGGCTGTCAGATCTCTGTGAATTTGAGGCCAGTCTGGTCTAGAGTGAGTTCCAAGACAGCCAAAGCCACACAGTGGAACTCTGTTTTGAAACCCCCACTCCAAAAGTATTTAATTTTCCACAATTTATTTCTCCACAATTACTTCAACACTGAGATATTATAGAACTTAGAAGTTTACCTGTCTGGGATGTTGCAACTTACATCTGCCTAAATTTAACAATGGAAGAATCTTCTCAGTTAATTTTATTTCTGTTTTATTTTGAATTGCCTATTTAATTGCTCATTTCTGTACTAGTTTTGTTAGGCGGAGAGGGTGGAATTTTTTTCTTGATCATTTGTTCAGAGTTAATGTAAACCAGAAAGAGAGTTCTTGATGTCAAAACATGACCCACTTTCTTTTATTTGCTATGGAGTTTTAGCTTTGTTTACATTTTTGGCATTTTCTTTAATGGTTTTGCAATTTTGCATCATATTTAAGAAGGCTTTTCACATTAGGAAGTTATAGAAATATTTTCTCACATTTTACTACTTTACAATTTAAAAGTCTTTGATCCATTTTCAAAATGGTGAGATACATGTTGCTACACTGCTTGTTTAATATGATTTTAACTGTTAGTACACTAATAAAATACATTGGCTCACATTTTAGGATCTGACATAATGAAACACAAAGTTTGGTGATTATATGATTGACGTTATAGGTCCACCACAGCTTACCTGAAGCCCTTGGTGGATGTGTCTCAGTAGGTTCAGTGCCTTCATGATCTCTACCTGCTTCTCTAGGGCTGCAATGCTTATTGGGGGTTTCTATTGGGTCAGGATATGGGGCTGTCCCCTCTTCTTTCCCGTGTCCACTGACAGCCCTGGTTTCTGGTTGTTGATATGCTCAGGTCTTACTGTTTTCAGTCTCAGCTCATTGTGTTACTTTGAACCTCTTCTCTTGAGAAGGACACATACATGGGACTGTGAGGGGGCTTTTTGCAGTCTTCTCAGTCCCCTTTTCATGTAACTTACATGTAG